GTAGGTGACGCCAAGCGTAGATTCCAAAGATCGGCTTGCGGTGGATGCCCTAAATACTGCAAGTAGGGAACAAAGGAAACTTTTGGCAACTTCCCGTGGTTGGTGGTAGGCATACTTGCAATATTTAGGGCATCCACCGTACCATTGGGAAGCAGCAGAAGGAAGGTTCTGATCAGGTTGCTAAGACCCCGGTCGCCCCACTTACCCCCGTAGTTTAATCCCCTAAGTGCAGTAGCAGGAATGATGACACATACTTTCAACCAGACATATTGCTATGATTTGTAAGAATACCCTCCCAAATAGTTGGCAGACACAAATCCCACCTAAATGATGTCTACCAGGGCCAGGGCCCCCAATTAAGATTCACACCCGCCATTTTGGACCTGTGGGACTGGCTTGGCCAGGGGTTCATACCGGGGGTTCATATGGGGTCATGCATGAATGCCCTCCGGTTGCCGTATCCCCGCTTCAAGGGGGGAGAGGGGTGAGGTTCCCCAATTCCAGTTCTCTAGTATTTCCCATAAAGGGAACATGGAACCATCACTGGAATTCTAGGGATGTTGCTGTCATGCAAAGCCTAGAGGCAGTAATGGCGAAGGGATACCTGTAGTAGAAACTAGAAGAGCTGCGTCTGCTGCGAACTCTGGAGGAACCCCACGAAAAGCTGCGGACTTGTCTGGGTGAAACCAACAGCAACAGGAATTCACTACAGGTCCCGGACCCTCTGGTGGGCATCCGAATTCGGTGGGGACTTTTGTCCACCAACCAGTTGCGAGGTGGTTCCAAATTCATAGCCCACATGACTCCATCGACCAACATAATGCTAGATCCTTGATCTCAGTTGTCATACCAGCATGTTATTCTCCGTCTCAATTGTTGCCTTCTGGACCTTTGGCCGTAGATGCCGGACTACACTACACAACCTGGACAGAGGGATGGTTCCTCAAGAATACAAGGATACCCTCCAAGATGGGACGGATTCATCAGACTATAGTTATAAAGGTTCGTGCAGAACGGACCTTCCTATTCTGCCCACTAAACCAGTAGAACCACCACTGAAATGGCCGAAATTCAAGGGGAAGCTCCTCACGTTGGGGGTCCAAATCAGCTTGGTGAGCTCACCATCTCTCCTCGTTTTCGCGCTGGGGCCCCCGGCTTTGATCTAGACTCCTCGTCCCCCTCCAGCTGCTTCCGGAGACCATCTGGCGAATCGCTTGAGCCCGGAGCCCTCAACCAGCTGTAAAGCAACTCAGCTTCCTGCTTGGATGGCGGCCAAGTTAGAGGGTGGCTAGCCAACCCACTGATGCCAGGGTGAATTCCACTTGGGGGGATTTGTGAGTGGGGTGTAACATAGGCTACCGTCGCAACTTGCGAACTTGGCGAATCGAACACCCAAGCATAAACTACTAGGTTGGGAGTCCAGCAAGCGACTTCTCGGCTCGGTCTCCGAAACTGTGGCTGACATTTGGGTTGGAGCCCCCAAACCATTGGACTATATCCATACTTATGGCCAATGGAGCACCAAGTATTCACTGCATGGGTGTACCTTTCTTTCAGCCGTTTGGGGTTGGTTTGCAGGGAAACCCAAAGGAAATCACCCAGATTCCCCTGAGCCACCCTCCATCTTCATCATCTCTACTCTTGGTATGGTAGCTAAAAACTTTGTTTTTCGCAGACCCCCAGTAAAAATGAACAGAACCAACAAAAACACATGCCAAGAACAGTGAAGCCATGATTTGATGTAAGGGATGGCATTGCTGAGGACACAATAGGTATTCACAATGCCTCGCAACCGCTTCTTGCCTGGCCTCACTGCAAAATCGCTGGCAATGTGAGAAGGAAAGGGGCATTGCCAATCAAGTGTCGTTCGCCTGCTTCTTGCTCTTGCTTTTTGAAGTGGGCAAAAGGCAATGATTTGGAAAAAGGGGGTGAGGTTTGCAACGAGCAAACAGCAGTGACCTGGTTTCCGGACCCGTCCTTTTGCTGGAAAATAATCTATGTGTTTGCATCGGTTGTCAAAGTCATGGACTCCCTCGAAAGCGCAGCGAGAGTTCAAGGGGTCCACATGATTTTTATGGCCCGCCACACTACCACTACCCAGGCAACAAAAAGGGTACATCCCTTTCTTACTTGCCAAAAGACCTAGAAATACAAGGTTACACTGTTGGGCACTTTGCTAACAAAAAACACCAACATGGGAAAAGCAAAAGGTCAAAAGGTCGATGCGCTTTGGGCAAGTGAACTCATAGTGGCCATATATGATCATGGGGGGAGGGGGCCGGCCTAGTGGCCATATATCATCTCATGCATGCCTTCAGGCACCGCAAGCGAGATGCCCGCGCCTATCTCTGAGCGAATCAGCTCCACCTGGCGGCTGATTCGCCAGGCAAATGGAACCGAAGCAGCTCTTGAGGGCAGAACAACTTCCTTTGGTTCCCTAACTTTTAGAGGAGACAGACTTGCGATGACCTACCTGCATGCCTCGAGAAAATTACGACTCACCTCCAACTGGCCCCAAAAAGCGTCTAGGCCTTTGTTGCTTATGTCCTAAGATTCTAAGACGGTCCAAAGTCCATCTGTAATGGTCCAAACCCGCCCAAAAAGTGGGAATGAGTTTGATGAGCTACCAACCAGTTCCAACGGATGTTTAGAACGTCCCGGCCCGGGTTTTCCTCCCCAAAGCCAAGGAAAGCTGAGCTCGCGTCGCTTTTGGGGGGAGGGGGACAGCCCAGATGGTTGGCCCAGATGCGAATTCGCATGAGTCAGACTTGGTTCACCCCCAAGGTTCATACTGCGGATGGACGAAATCCTGCACCCATGGGAGGATAGAACCCATGCAAATACCAGCAAATACTGGTTTCTCATGGATTCAAGGTGGTGCAGGATTTGCAAGTCAAAGTAGGGGACCCCCAAGAAAAGGCAATGCTCTTGGAGCCCCCAAGTTGCACAACTTCCCGCGCAACAGTGGGACACAAACACATACACACACAAACACATGTTATACGTGCTTCCATACTACAGAATCCCTACCAAGCCAAATACAAATCTGAATATTATTCCTGGAAGAGAAACATGGCAAGGGTGGCTAAGGTTTTTCCCTGAAGGGGGGTGACACACCTTGAGGGGGGTAAACACCCCTTCTCAAAAAAACACGCTCCCATCAACGGCAGACGATCGCTCAACAGGGATCCTTACATTATACACCTGAACATTGCAGCTTGCAAATGGTGGTGTCCCGAAATATTTTGGTGTTGAAAAAGCCACATGTTTCAAATGGTTGCAACTTGGCCATCTTTTAAGGAGCCCTGCTCAATGATGCCTCTTCTTGCAGGGTGGCGTTCTCGCCCTTCAGCTGCTGCTCTTTGGTCTCCTCGCAAAACGAAAACCGGGCGGCCCACGGGGCGAGCCGTTGCCGCGGGCATTCATATTGCGCCGGGCCGTTTTTTTTGGCAGTCACACTGGGGGTTGAGTCCTTGTCCGTTCTTTTCAACCATCGTTCTTTTCAAAAATCAGCTGTTTTCCCAGGGTTGTTGGCGGTTTTCTAGAAAGAAGGATCCCTGGAAAGAATGGGGAAGCTACCCTTACAGTCACGGCTTTCCACGCCCTTTGACAACCAGGGCTATCAAAAAGATAATGATGAAATTCATGGAAGTTTTCCTCTAGCCCCGTTCAAGCCATCTCAAGAACTCAATCGACAACTGGAAGCTCACACGGCTTCCGCTGCCACAGACGTGCAGCCTCAATGCAAGTGGAATCGAATCTGCTCTGCTACCCTCCCACCAGACATGGAATTGACTGCTTAGGCTGTTGCCCCCTGTTCGACATGTTTATAAGACTTTTGTTGTTTGGCGAGTGGGAACCACGCACATATAATATATATATATATATATATATGTACGGCCCCAAACAGTCAAAGGCTACAGATCCAACCAAATACAGCCAAGATTAAAGGGTCCCATGTGAAAGCGCTGAAAACACACATGCTTCACGGCGACAAGTCCTTCTAGCCTAGGCCAAACGAACTGACAAGAATGAAGCTGAACGCTTTGGGGGCCAATCCAGCGCCAATCCAGCACCCGCTAGCGACGGCGTTTTGTTTCCGATGTCCAAAACCCTGTGTCCAAAAAGCAGTCGTGGGGATGCTGGATGGGGCCAAAAAGGAAACAGGAGGGACCTTCCCCGGGTGTAAAATGAAGCAACCCCCTCAAAAAGGGCATCGGCACTTCCGGGTCGCTTTGCTTCCCCGAAAAAATCATGGGGACAAAGGGCAAGATCTGCTGAGCCACCCTGAAGTTGCCCTAGACGCTCCGCCAACATGCTCTGATCACAGGTCACTAGTGTCACTGAGCTTCTTGGTTTGCCTCCTGCCTGTACTGGCTTCACCAATGAGATTCCAATTGATCTAAGTCGTGGGATCGATTCAGATACAGAGTTGCTCAAGCAAAGAGCCTTGGATACGGCAAAACGGAGCCCTCAAGGTTTCATTCAGGTGCCAAGCTATGGCCACCCTCGAATTCACCCTACGCTACCACTAGCAAAGCGTAGACATTACATTCACCAAGTGAGGAGTCCCCAAAACCCATTGACTTTTGGCTCTACTAAGATGGTTACAATGGATTTTACAGGCCTTACTATAATCCTTGTTCAATCAGATAGTAGAGCCACCCACCCCCCAGAAAGGTCAGAACCATTTCCGGGACCATTTTGCACCACTTTGACCGGCTGGTTTTTTCTTCAACAACGAAATGCTGCCGGCATGCGAATGTCGCGGCGCATTTTTTTCGTCCTGCTTGTGAACCCGATTCATGTACTCCAGGTTCTTCTGCTCCACCACTTGCAGAGCTTGTCCCAAGGCTTCAATGTCAACCTGCGAGGGGGGCAGGGATTGCGTGGGACCACCCCTTTGCCTTTGCGATAGCGCGCAGTGTGTTCGACGCAGCGATTGATTGGGGGGAGGGGGGGGGCAAAGAAGCAGGAGTCCCCGAAAACAAGCAAGTCAGTGTGTCTGCGTGGTCCCCTGTTTGGTTGAAACATTTTTCAGGGATCCACGAGAACTACAAAGCCTCAATGGGGAGCAACTCATGTTCCAGGACAAAAGGATCAAAAGGCACCGTTGGCACAAATTGCTAGGTTCTTCTTGCAAAACATCGGAGCAGAACCCAAAAGTCTATTCACTGTTGCTATCATGATCCCAGATGTTCAAGGTCACTACGATCCCTGTATTGCTTCCTTAGCGGATATGTTGTCTATTGCTTCCTTAGTGGATTGGCCAAGAAAACTCATTGCTTGACACTGACAGGAGCTCAGGTCTTAACTCCATCCAGCTCAGGGCATCGGAGTCCTTCCCTGAGTGTACGCATAAATCTTCATATGTTTGTCTCCAGGCCCATCTGACCCCAAGAGATCCTATGAATAATTATGGCTTGGTCCCCGGAGAGTATTTATGAATAGGGTGGCCCGCGTGTATTTTTAGGGGGAAAGGATGAGTTTCTCCAACGACCTCAAATTAAGTGCCCCAGACGCGTTGTACCTCGGACCTACCTCGGAAGGGCTTCTGAACTTTTGTTGAACATATGACAGGGCTGCGCTGCGCAAGGCTCAAGTATTCCCCCTTAAGGGGGAGGGGGGGTCTCCAATTCCACTTGTCTAGAATTCATAGGGAAAATGGGTTGCCATGGAATTCCAGATGGAATCCCAGGTGGAGTTCCAGGGGTCGACATCTCCCACATGTTTTCAGTTTTGGGGTTTGCGGATGATCACCTAGGTCCTCCGGTAGAGAGGTTAGAATAAGGGTACCCTTTTTCTGTAGTCTTTTTTTGTGGGGGAACCCGCCTCCAAAAAAGTTGAAAGGGCACTGGGGGACCTAGTCACCTTACAGGACTGCAGCTCTGCGGACCGAAAGCCACGGACTCGCTTTCTCTCGCGGCAAGGAGTCCCGCGCTGGCGGATCGCTCGCGGCGAGCACTCGGCCGGCACAGCTCCGCCACCTCGGCCGGAGCACGACTCCGCAGAAACCCTCTGCTTGGCAGCAGCGACCCTAACTTGAAAACGGATACCCTTTGAGGCTTTGAGGGCCTGCCAAACACCAAGGGGGAAAAGGTGCCATGCTACTTAACCATTGAGCGACGTCTTGAACATTCACATGACATACTCTCATCTGTTCTGACTGGTTTTGCCTCAAAATGGAGGACACCCAGCCTGTCCCTTTAAACCCACCCCAAGGGTACCCCAAAACACCACCCCCTTTCTGCCAGCCCGCTCCGGGACTCCGCCAAGGTGCCGCCTCGCGCCTCGCGCAGAAATTCCTCAGCCCACGTTCTGCATGAACTCCACCAGCTTGGCACGGACGGCCTCGGGGAACCAGAACCCGTGGGTTTGATTCATGCCAGATCTGGTTGGCATGAGCCGAACACGGGACTAAAAAAGACAAAGAGGGCCATCTTTGGTTGGCACCTGGTAATAAAACATGGTTGAGTTAATTAGAGCTTGGGGAAATGCAAAAGGTGTGAACACCTCCAAACATGTGATTCTTCTTTGAGGAAGTTTGGCTTCTATGTGTGTAGACACACTCCTTGAGGGGGTCCCAGATTAAACAAAAAGAGGCTAGGTCATGAGCCGTGAAAACATGGCCGGCGTACCTTCAGAAAACCTGCGGCTTCGGGCTCCCATTAAAACCTGGCAGGGTAGAAATTTGGTCCCTTGGGTGTTCGCTTCGCTGCGTTAGTAAGTTGTCACGGGAAGCGTTTTGGTCATAACCCACTCAAAAGGAGTGAAGCTATGTCCTCCATTAGAGAGGTTAGAATAAGGGTACCCTTGTTTTGTAGTCTATTTCAGTAGGGGAACCCTCCCCCAAAAAAGAAACGGTAAAAGTTGGCACGATCCTGGGGCACCTAGTAACCCCTGGGTTGGCGAAGCACTTGCTAACTCGGCCCCACGAACATCCGAGTGAAGAAGGCAAAGGGGGATGGACAGGGTTCCCAAGATGCCATTTGAGTCACTTGCTCAAAACCCGGCATTTCATGGAAAACACTTGCTCAACTTACACGAAGCACATGGAGAAACATGCACTGAGAACTCGGCCAGCGACATGTGCACCGAGAACGTGCACAAACCAATTTGAGTGACAAATTTAAACCCGGTACTAAAATGGTCGTAACCCCACAACCATGCGGAGATCCGCAGCTATTTCTAGTTGGGATTGTCCCTTACCAACCGGATCATCTACCCGGGTTTTGAGCACGTGGCTCATTTGTTCAGAACCCTGGGTTCGATCATCTTGCTTCTTGCTTGGCTCAGCTTGCAGACCCCAAACAAGGCTTCACCAAAAAGACAACCCCACCAGCCTTCCCAAAAGAAGTTCCACAACCCCCAAACCACTAGGGGAAAATGGCGGGTACACCACTAGAGGGAAACTCGCTTTTGCTTGTTGGGCGGAAGGTTTCACTACTACATAAGGTTGTTTTCGGTGGAACGTCTCGCGCGCCTGCCGCGTTTTCGGCCAGACCCCGCCAAGTTATGATCATTGTTAGCGAACACACAGTCACGAGCACCCAAGCAGGACAATGCCAGCGTCCTGCTTGGGGTCACAGCTGAAACACTTGCAATAAACACAGAGTCACACGCGGGACAATGGTGGCGATTGTGTTGGAGCTCGCAAAAGAGCCGAGTGCCTGTGGAAATGCACCAAGCGTGTCGTGAATTCGATGTTTACTCTGACAGTTAGGCATTTTGTGTACAGAGACAACTTGCGGTGAGCGGCGAATCAAATGTTTGAACGTTAATCTCCGGTGAGTCGCTGCCACGAAGAAGTGTTTTTTTGCTTTTGTGTAAGTAAAGTACTCCTTCTCCCCCTAGAGTTCATATCGAAGATGCTGGCACCACGGGATTTATGGGGAAACATGACGCCGATTGAGCGCTCTCAAAATGAACTCAGCTGCAAGGTGGTCAAACAAAAAAAAGTCACTCGGGGTCGTGCTACCTGGTGTTTTCTCACAGTCTTCGCTTGGGTGGTGTGGCGGTTTGGGTCCCGATCATGGAAACCTAGATCAGCCCACGCAACCCACCCCCGCACCCCGGGCGCGCCCGCAGCCCTTCAGACACCCAATCTTAGGCTTTGGCAGGGTGCACTATACTTCCCTTTAAGCATCACCCCCACGAAAAGACTACCTCCAAGTTGGCCCAACCAGTGATGTCTAAAACCACCAAACAGGGGAATATAGAGGGGTCCCTAATAACCGAACTCCGCTTTCCCAGCCAAATCGCCGCAGGCATCTTCAGGCTCTGGTCATTCAACGCGGCGGTGATCTCCTCCGCAGAGATCTGGCCATCGCCTGCGGCCGGATGGCGCAAGCATGGCACAGCGCTGGGCGTTTGGGTGTCTCACCTGCAGCCGGAGGTCGCCAAAGGAGACGTCTAACGCCAAACATGGCAAAGTGTGCTGTTTCTTTTTCACGGTTGTTTTTTCGTTTTTTTTGGGGGGGAACCTTTTCGGATGGTTTCCAAGGCAAACCAAGAGCGAAGCCGACGCCATTTGGGGGGCTCCGTTTCCTGATTTGAGACAACGATGGCGTTTCGGCGGTTTGCCAGATGCAAGCAATGCCAAAGGTATGCAAAAAAGGTGGCAAAGTGGTTACGACCCGGAATTCCCTCGTTCGTTTCCGCCAACTGGGTGGGTCAAAAGGCGGTACCCCGTACCCCCAGTGAACGTCCCAATCCCCACTAAAATAGACTAAAATGGGTGGTGCACCTACCCCAAAATGGCACCATTGCTTTTGACCCACAGCCAAATGAAGCCAGGCCACATCACATAAACCAGGCGAGGGTTTGGACCCTCACCCCAACAGACGGTGGTTGATCCGATCTCGTGGCATGAACATCCCACTGAAAGGGCACTGAGACGATCTGTGGCTGAGGCCGTACGTCGGGGTTGATGAAAAGGTCCTTTACATGGGGTGACCATTTCGGAAAAAACGCCCAACAAGATGCAACTCACCACGAGATGGGAGAAGTTACCCCCCCAATTATTTTACCCAACAGCTGAAAGCTTTGGGGTCTCAGCCTAGATATGCTCCGGGGTGCCCTGAGGTAAGGTTCCACGAGGAGTTCCACCATGGTTCCACGAGGGTTCCACAAGGTTCTGCGAGGGCTGCGGGGTGGTGCGAGCACTAAAATGAGCACCGCATGCTGTTGGGGATATCACCTGAGCTGATTTTTGTTTTGGGGGGGGGGCGCAATCGAATGCAAAGGAAGACCATCCCACAGGACAACCCGGTGGCCGACTTTGGCCCCAAAATCCCCAGACTTCGGTCCGAAAGGTGTGGGAGGGTGCGTGTGGGTAAATATGGGCCCGTGCGCCCATTTGTTTGCTTCAGGGGGAGCCCCGAAATGTTTTTCCCCAACAGCAAGCTAAGGGGTCTCAGCCCAGATAAGGTTTGGGGGTGGCTTGCGGGAGTCTGGTTCCGGCCTTTGGAGGCAGGTTCCGGAGGTTCCGGGGTGGTCTGGTGCAGGCCAGCTGTCAGGGCCAGGTGTAACCCTGGTGGAAGGTGCAAGGTAGGTTCCGGAGGTTCCAGGGTGGTCTGATGCAGGCCAGGTGTAGGGTTCAAGGCAGGTTCCGGAGGTTCCGGGGTGGACTGGTGCAGGCCAGGTGTAAGGTGAAGAACTGAAGTCTGAGACGCAACGAGCAGACAAATCCTAGACCTTCAGCGCCTAGCAGTTGGGGATACCACCTGAGCTTATATATTTTCTCGGGATCCACGGTGTGTTTTTGTGTCCAGTTGAAAAAGACCCGCAAAACAAGGGGCTCCTTCCAAAAACGAAGCCCGCCGCATCTGGATGCAGAAGGGGCCTGAAGTGTCCATCTGGTCAAGGAGCTTATCCAAGACCGGGAGCTCCTGGCCCCGAGCGTGGCTCGGAATGGTCAGTGGTGTCCCATTCTCGGCTGAGCTTGGACCCACAAAAACAATCACCTGTCGGGGGCCATGACAAATGCTCCAAGGAGAAACTAGGTCTAAAATTTTGAAAGGTCAGCTTTTGGCAAGCGAGAATCCATTCTCTACAAGAACCAGGGTTCAACCCCAAAACAATCCAAACCAATTCAGGAAGGCGAAGCTGAGATGGGCATTTGGCCTTGGCACCCAGAAAAGCGCCTCCCCCCCAAGCTTTGGCGCGGCTTCACCCAGCTATAGTGCACTTCGGTCAGGCAACCAGATGCCCCCCGGCCCCGGGCTTAAAGAGGCTCAAAAAAGATCCAGAAGCTGGGTGTCTGTTTTGCTTTAACTAATCTCCGCTGTTTTTTGTTGAACACTTTTGCCTGATCATGCCGGAAGTGAATCCAATCACATGATCTATTTCACACTGTCTTATCAAATGATTGATCCAATTAGGTAAGACGATCAAATCGCTAATAGTTAATATACATCGTCAAACAGGACAAGCCATCCTCATGGCTTCCTCAACTTCTGCAAAGTCGGCCTTAAGATTCTTGGCGCTCTCAAGAGCAAGTCTTGCCCCTCAACAAATGTCCGTGCTTTCGTTCAGGCATATCGCAACCGTGTTTTGCTGGGAACATCGGAACATCCCACGATGACACCTTGAATGCGATGTCAAAACAGGGGCACAGTTATATTAGATAGAATAATATCAAGTCATTATGCTCTTTTTCAGAGATATTCATGTGTTACAAAGTTTGCCACTAGATATCTTACTACATGAATACATGAGAGGTGAAAAGGCTATCCAAATTGAAAGCTGAATGTATTTACAAAGGAGGAATAGCGGTTTCCCTGTTGGTATCCCTAAAAACCAGCCTGAAAAAGGGAGCCCAGCCACACAGACGCCCGCACGGACCCTGGACCCTATCTGTCCTCCGCAGAAATATCTTCGTCTTCCTGGAAGAAGTCCATCCACTCCTGACGAGCTGGCAGGCTGGCAGGCACAGTCAAAATGGCGAATATTAACGTTGGTTTGAACCAACTCTCAGTTGCCCAGTTTGGACGGATAAATGGTTAACCTTTTGGAGCCGTGACCAAAAAATTGGCCCAACCGAAACCAAAGGTGAACAGGCCGAGTTGTTTCCTGTAACGGAGATCTGTGTCCATTTTAGTAAGACCTCCCCAAAATGATCCTCAATGGTTGAAAGGCAAAGCCCCTGAAAAACAATTCTGAGAACCTCTAAACATGTTCACTTTAAGAAAATAAGTTGTTTCGGGCCTCGTTTTTCGTTAGTCTAAAGACAAACTTGAAGGGAATCAATCATTTCGAAGGTCTCCCTGTTTTGGGGCTCACCCGCATGGGAAAAGATAGGGCTCGTCCAGCTCCTGGGTGTTTTTTCAGGTCCCCTTGGCTTCTGAAATTCCAGGGGTTGAGTCCTTGTCCTTTCTTTTCAACCATCGTTCTTTTCAAAAACCGGATCCGTTTCCCCTGGGTTGTTTGATGGGTTTTCTGAAAAGAAAAAAGGATCCCTGGAAAGAATGGACATGAAAGGTAGCCTTTTCAACCATCGTTTTTCTCAAAAACCGATCGCCGTTTCCCTGGGTTTTTGATGGTTTTCGGAAAAGATTCGGATCCCGGGAAACATGGACATGGAAGGTAGCCCTAGAGTAATAGTAATCCTTCTGGAAAGGCACCATCTGACTGGATGCAGTGCCGAGGGACCTCTGGCGTGCTTTGACCATGCCACAAATATCTTCCCAAAGTGGACCTCCAAATCCGGGGGTCGCTTCATGGGCGTACAACGGCAAACCCGAAATCCAGTGGATTTCCAATCGGCACTCAGGGTTTGGTCCAAAGGGAACCCCCTCCTTTACAAAGGGCACTGAGTGTACTGATGTGCACTTTCGAGGGCCACAGAACACCGGCAGTTCCCCAAACCAAAAGTTGATCAACTGAGTGGGGTCCAATGAAAGTTGGTAAATTGAAGGACCCCTTGAAGGCCCCAGGTCCGTATTTTTGTTATGCAAACAAACATTTGATGGTGCCACAGATGCTAAACTATAACTTCCCGTCCGCATATGGGGTCCAACAACTCCCGAATGAAAAACCCAAAGCCTTAATTTCCCAGGAACACGTCCGAGCCCTCAATACAACTGGGGTTGTCCTGGAATCCCCGAAATGGGCTTCCATTTGCTGTCCCTTTTCAGCAGCGTTTGGTTTCCGTTCAAGCCAGGTAGCGTTTTCCGACCCGTCGATAGACGATTGCCGTCTGGGTGTTGTTTATAACAGCTCTAGGTGTACCTTTCCCATTCTTTCTAGGGATCCTTCTTTCCAAAAATCCTCACTAAACCCAGGGGAAACGGCTGTTTTTGCCACGCTTTATCGCATTCACGGGTCCAATCAGCCCTGGACCATCGGACACGCAGTCTCGTCCGGCTGCATTCGCATGCGCAATGAAGATGTCATGGACCTCTATCAACGTGTGGGCGTCGGAACCAAGGTACACGTTCTCTAATGCACAACCTCGACAACTGAAAATCACCTGAACGCACGGCAACGCCGTGCGTTTTGTTTGGTTTGCCAGCCACTGCTTGCACTGCTGCAGGTTTCTTTGCAGTTTGTTTTTCAACGAAGAGCGGATCTCCGCTCGTCAAAGCGTATCGAGACGACGCAGGGTATGACCCGACGCACCAACATTGAATCTGCGCGGTCCGACGCGGCCTATTTCGTGAAAGCGGCCCTGGTCGGCCTTCTCGTAGGAGGATTGGCGACCGGTTTTCATGCAGGTCTCGAGCATCTGTTTGCCCAGTATGCCGCCCTGAGAAACTCTCTCGGCAGTGGCGCATTGCCGTATGTCGTTTCGATTCTCATTTCATCTATGTGCGTTGCCGCAGCTTTTCTCCTCGTTCAACGGGTTGCTCCGGAAGCCGCCGGCAGCGGCATTCAGGAGATAGAAGGAGCGATGGAGGACCGGCGCCCGGTTCACTGGCCTCAGGTGCTTATTGCAAAATTTTTTGGCGGCCTGCTTGCCCTCGGCTCTGGCCTGGTGCTGGGGCGGGAAGGACCGACCATTCATATGGGAGCCATGACTGCGGAAGCGCTCGCACGCTCTCACAAGGTCTCTCCCGCCGATCACAAGGGCCTGCTTGCAGCAGGAGCAGCCGCGGGGCTTGCCGCTGCCTTCAATGCGCCGCTTGCCGCAATCCTGTTCATTGTCGAGGAAACGAGACGGCAGTTTCCGTTCGGCTACCGCACCTACATGGCCGTCATCATTGCCTCCATCCTGAGTGCAGCCGTTACCGAACAGCTCACACAAACCGGCCCTCTCCTGGTTGTCGATGTGCGTTACCTGCCGGTCTGGAGTTACCTGCTGCTTGCCTTGATGGGCATCCTGCTCGGTGTACTCGGTGTCTTCTTCAACAAGGCGCTGATCACGGTCATGGACCTGTTTCTGAAAATCCCGAAGGGTCTGAGATGGCTCCCGGCCCTTGCAATCGGCGCAGTCACGGGCATCCTGCTCAATGCGGTTCCCGATGCAACGGGCGGCGGCGAAGATCTGGTCCATGACCTGATATCCAGCCATTATGGCGTTCTTGCTCTCTTGTTGCTCACATTCCCGCGCTTTGGCGGCGTGCTGTTTTCCTACGCGTCCGGTGTTCCGGGCGGCATATTCGCCCCCATGCTGTCCATTGCGACATGCGCCGGACTGGCGTTCGGCGTGATAGCCGTCGAAACGCTGCCCGTGGAAGATGATTTCCGGGCAGCCTGTGCCGTTGCTGCCATGGGCGGTTTTTTTGCAGCGTCCGTTCGTGCGCCCCTTGTCGGCGTCGTGCTGGTAATGGAGTTGACCGGAGCCTATGCCCTGATCATGCCCGTGCTCGTCACCTGCACGACTGCATCGCTCACTGCTCACCATCTCGGCGGGCGCCCGATCTATGAACAGCTTCTGGAACGCACACTGCGTATTGCAGGCCAGGATCCCGATAACGAGCCGGACAAAACACCGGTGCAACTCGGCACGCGCGAAGGCTGAGCTGCCGATCCAGGCGTTTCCCCGGACAGCGTTTCCCCGGACATGGTTGCCGAAGGCAACTCAGATTTCAGGCACCACGAGCCATTGCTGCCGCTCCAGCGGCACCCTGAACCGGACAACGCGCCGGATCACGGTACACAAGGGCCCAAGCCTCAGCAATGCGGAGACGAGGACTTCAGAACATCCAGGTCTCCGGATTTGAAATCGCGTCGCCGCGTCCGGCTGTCTGCACGCCCTTGATGCACCGGATGATGAACCAGACGAGCGTCGCGATCAGCACGAAAATACCAATGAACACGAATGTCAGCACGGCGCCTATAAGGCTGTACAGCAATCCGATCCAGAATGTTCGGATCTGATAGGTATAGTGGGATTCGACCCATCCCCCGGCTTTTCCCCTGTTCAAATAGGCGAAAATTACACCGATGATCGAGGTGATGCCGACGATGATACTGACAAGATAAAGAATGTAGATAAGAGTGGCGTTCTTACCACCGGGTTCCATGTAACCTGCGACATCGGTCTGATCGTTCATAACCGCACTCCGCTAAAATTCATTCTATCGAAACCGGGCCTGTGCAGCTGCGAATCTCGTTGCATCCACATTGATCCGGCCAGCCTAGATTACAGTCCTTTGCCCATTCGTCCAGACTTGTGAATATCGCTCTGCGCGAGACGGACCAAAGTGCCTTGCCAATTGCTGGGGCGACGGCCATGAGGACCAGAAGACCACGGGGATTTGTTTTCCCGTCTTAACGACTGATCTGGTCGGCTTGTCCTGCCGTAACAAGTGCTGTTAGTTCAAGAACGTTCCCGAATTTTGACATGTTCTGTCGCATTGGGGAGAGTTCAAGCAGAATCTGTCGTCTTTCTGAGAGATTGAAAATGAGCAATCTGACGGACATGGAAATCTTTGCGCGCGTGGTGAGCGCAGGCAGCATGTCGGCGGCCGGTCGGGAAATGAGCCTGTCCCCCGCGGTGGTCTCGAAACGAATCCGAAGGCTGGAAGAAAAGCTGGGAACGCGACTTCTCCAGCGAACAACCCGTCAGATCGCAATGACCGAGGCCGGTCAGGGCTTTTATGAACGGGTCATTGCCATTCTGGCCTCGGTCGAAGAAGCAGAGTCGTTTGTCTCGCGCGGATCCGCCAAGGCCCGGGGAAATCTCAGGGTTGCCGTTCCCACGTCGTTCGGACGCCTTCACATTGCACCGCATCTGGGACGGTTTCTGTCCGAGAACCCCGACCTGTCAGTCAATCTCGACCTGTCCGACGATTTTGTGGACATTGTCGGCGATGGGTATGATCTCGCGGTCCGGATTGCGGAGCTTTCGGATTCAAGCCTGGTTGCAAGGCGGTTGGCCCCGGTCCACCGTGTCCTGTGCGCCAGCCCGGAATATCTGGCAAAACACGGCGTTCCGATCAGCATTGAGGATCTGGCAAGCAATCATGTAACGATTGCAGCGACAAATCAGGATCCGTGGCGGCTTGCCGGGCCCTCCGGAATCGAAACCGTGCGTACACGTGCGCCTCTCAAGACAAACTCAAACGAAGTCGTGCGGGAATGCCTGCTTGCAGGTGTTGGCGTGGCACTTCGTTCCACCTGGGATGTCGGTCCGGAGCTGCGAGAAGGCAAGTTGCAGATACTGCTGCCTCAATACAGGGCATCAAAGGACGTCGGCCTGCATGCCGTTTATCCGAGCCGTCAGTTCCTGCCGGCCAAGGTGCGGGTCTTCATCGATTTCCTGGCCGGTCTTTACGGGACTTCGCCCTATTGGGATGCCGGCCTTGACGACTGGCTCCGCCTGCCGAGCAGCGCAAAGGCCGGGTGATCACTCCATTTTGACATGTGACGTTTAACTGCCGCATTAGTATCTCTCCTGATGCGACTGTGCGTCACTTGCATCATGTTCGGGCTTCCTGTCTTTTGTGCCGGGGTATGTATGCACCCAAATTGAGGGAGAGTTATATGCAGCGTTTGCTGATGATCGCCGGAACAGCGCTTCTGGCCGTAACCGCTCAGGCAAGTGCCGAAGGCGACCCTGCCAAGGGTGAGAAAGTTTTCAAAAAGTGCGCCGCCTGCCACGCCGTTGGCGAAAGTGCCAAAAACAAGGTCGGACCGCAGCTGAACGGGGTGGTTGGCGCTCCGTGGGGCCGTATCGAAGGATACAAGTACTCGAAAAACCTCGTTGAATTGAGCGACGGCAAAGTCTGGGACGAAGACACTCTCGTCGTCTATCTGACTAAACCGAAAGACCTTATTCCCAAGGGCAAGATGGCATTTGCCGGTCTGAGAAAAGAAGCGGACCGCGACAACGTGATTGCCTATCTTGCACAATTCAAGGAAGACGGCACGACCGAGTAGGATCAATCGGCATCGCATCACAGGAAAGGCCGGGGCTCCCCGGCCTTTTTCATTGCGGCAACTTCAGTCAATGTTCACCATGATGCTTGCGGATACGCCTGACGACCCACCAGATGAGCAAAACGACCAACGGCACTGCCAGGCCTGTCGTGATATTCGCGCTCGGAACCGGAAGCCCCGCATCCTTGGCGGCCTTTGCCAGGTACGAAATCAAACCGACCACATAATAGGAAACCGCAGCGACTGACAGACCTTCGACGGTTTGCTGAAGTCGCAATTGCAGACGGGCTCTGCGGTTCATTGATTGCAGGAGGCTGCGGTTCTGCTGTTCCAGTTCCACGTCAACTCTCGTGCGCAGCAATGTCGTCGCGCGGGCAAGCTTGCGTGACAGCATTGCCTGGCGGTCTTCAATTGCCTGGCAGGTTCGCATGGCAGGTGCAAGGCGTCTTGCCAGGAACGATGCCAGGGACAAATCGCCCGGTGCGGCTTCTTCTCTCAATGTCTCAAGTCTGGCCTTGACGATTTCGGCATAGGCGCGGCTTGCACCGAAACGGAAGGCACTCGCCGTCGCCCCGGCTTCCAGCGCCGCCGCCAGGGCAGACAGCTTGTCAAGAAGCTCCTGGTTGGTTCCAAGCGCAGCGGCATCCTTCATCTGGCCGGTCATTTCCGCCAACTCGATCTCAAAACGCCGGATTTCCGGTTGCAGACCTGTTGCCTCAAACAATCCCAGCATGGCAAGCGTCCGATAGGTTTCGACTTCAAGAAGGCGTTGCACGACAGCGCCGCACTGCACACCGCTCAGGGATCGATTGAACAACAACATGCGTGTCAGTCCGTCTCCGTCCTGACGGAAATCCGTCACCACGGTCGCTGCCCCGTCTTCCAGGTTCGAGACCGTCAGACTGCTCTCGTCAAACTGGCTGCGCCAATCTTCGTTTTCGACCGGTTCACGCAATTCGAGGCGTACAGCAACGAGAAGGTCTCCAGGCGCGCGAAAGGCCGCGCCGAACGGATGTGTCGCAGCAAGTTGCCCGAACAGCTGGTCCGGTCTCGCGCTTCCATCCCAGGTGTAGGTCGTGAATTCCGCGTGCTGTTCCCAGCTGAGGGTTCCACCGCCGAAAGTCAGGGTGTGATGCCGGTTCCCCGACGCGGGCCCGGGCACTCCTCGGGACATGCAGAATTCCGACAACCAGTCGTGATCCCTAGCCGCCTCTTCCGCGTTGGTCAGGAACGCATAGTGCAATACCGTGCGGGGACACGTCAGCGGTCGGAATGGACGTGCATGCACTTCTCCCAGCACACGTTCGCGCAAGAGAGATGTCCGGAACGACGGCAGCGACGACCCGTTCTCTGACCCCTGACCCACAATACTCGCCCCTGTCCAGTGTTCCGTCTGCGAGGCACTCTGATCACAAAGAACGCCTTATACCAAGGTCTAATATTGTCACAGGCCACGATTGTTCGCTGATGGCGGTTTTGACGCAATGATAATTGGATAAAAAAATTGACCAATTTTTGCATTGCACTTATGTTGCGCGGCAACGAAGGGATGCATCACGCATGTTTCAGCCTGTTGATCATCAAAAAACGGCCGACGCCGTTGTGGAGCAGATTGAAAATCTGATCCTGAAAGGCGTCCTGCACTCCGGTGACCGGCTACCGTCCGAACGGGACCTGGCCGAACAGATGAAAGTCTCAAGACCCGTCCTCAGGGATGCGCTCAAAACTCTTGAGGAACGCAGGCTGATTGAAGCACGGCGCGGTGGCGGCACCTATGTCTGCGATCTGATCGGTCCCATATTTTCCGATGCCATCATTGAGCTGATCGCCCGGCATCCGGACGCCATCAATGACTATTTCGAGTTCCGAAGGGGGATCGAAGGACAGGCGGCCGCCCAGGCAGCCATGCGTGCAGCCCCTACCGATCTCAAGCGTCTCCAGGATATCGTCAAGCAAATGCACGATGCCCACGAGGCAGAGGACCTTTCCGTCGAAGCGCTGCTTGATGTCGAATTTCACCATGCAGTCGGCGAAGCGGCTCATAACGTGGTGATGCTGCATACGCTGCGTTCCTGCTACCGGTTGCTTGAAAACGGTGTCTTTTACAATCGCGGCCGGCTCTACCACCACCCGAGCGCGCGAGACGAGTTGCTGCAACAGCACGTCGCGATCGCAGACGCGATCTGCGAGGGTGATGCAGTCGGGGCAAAGCGCGCATCAGAAGAACATATCGACTATGTACGCGGCACGCGTGCCGAGGCCGAACAACTCGACCAACGCGAACAACTGGCGGGCCTGCGTCGTATCAAACCCATTAAGAATTCCACTCGATCCTGATCCGGGGGAGGATAAATCGTGACGACTATTACCGATGTTGCCGACATGCAGGCTCTTGCAAAGCGCAGGGTTCCGAAAATGTTCTACGACTATGCGGATACCGGGTCATGGACACAAAGCACCTACCGGGAAAACGAAGCAGCGCTGCAACGCCAGAAGCTGCGTCAACGTGTTGCCCGCAACATCGACAACCGTTCGGTCAAGTCGACCATGATCGGTCGGGAAGTCGCCATGCCGGTCGCGTTGGCGCCCGTCGGGCTCACCGGCATGCAACACGCGGACGGCGAAATTCTCGCGGCACAGGCGGCTGAAGAATTCGGTATCCCCTTTACGCTGTCCACAATGAGCGTTTGCTCGATCGAGGACGTTGCGGAGCACACCAAGACCCCCTTCTGGTTCCAGCTCTATGTCATGCGCGACAGGGGATTTTCGGAAAACCTGATGCAAAGGGCAACCGCGGCGGATTGTTCGGCACTTGTGCTGACGCTCGACCTCCAGGTGCTTGGCCAACGCCATCAGGATCTCAAGAACGGCCTGAGCACACCACCCAAACCAAAGCCGAGCGTCCTTGTCGATCTCGCATTCAAGCCATTCTGGTGCTGGAACATGCTTCAGACAAAGCGCAGGGAATTCGGCAACATTCACGGGCACGTGGCTGGTGTCGACGACATGTCGTCGCTCGCTGAGTGGACGAACAGCCAGTTCGACCCGACACTTGACTGGTCTTCGGTCGAGTGGGTCAAGAAACACTGGGATCGCAAACTGATCCTGAAAGGCATCAACGATGTCGAGGATGCAAAAATCGCTGCCGGCCTCGGTGTGGATGCGATCGTGGTCTCCAACCATGGCGGACGTCAGTTGGACGGTGCTCTGGCCTCCTATGACGTCCTTGGCGACATCGTCGACGCGGTCGGGGACAAGATCGAAGTTCATTTCGACGGTGGGATCCGCTCAGGACAGGACGTCTTCAGAGCGGTCGCAATGGGTGCTCACAGTACCTATATCGGCCGGGCCTACATCTATGGCCTCGGCGCAATGGGCAAGGCTGGCGTGACCAAGGTTCTGGAGATGATCCACAAGGAACTGGACGTGACAATGGGCCTTTGCGGCGAGACCGACATCACGAATACCGGCCGGCATAACCTGGTGCTGTAGGTCACGGACGCCGGAGCAAGGCCAGCCATGCCCGGGCGATCGCTTCACCCAACGCGTCGGACTTGTCCGCGTGACGGGCAGCTTCCTCATCGAGCCGCTCGGGCCAGTCCGGCGTATGTGGAAGGATCTCGTCTGCAAGATTTTCAGACCATTCACGCACGTCCGCTGAGGCGGCTTCGAAATGGAACTGGATAGCGTATGTAGTCCGGCCGATGCGGAAGGCCTGTATCGGTGTCATTGCGCTTTCAGCCAGGTGAACAGCGTCTTCAGGAAGAGAAACGGTATCGGTGTGCCAGTGAAACAGTGGCCCGCCCTTTCCCAACGCCGAGACGACAGGATCGGCCTGGCCCTCTGCCGTTGGTGTCACGTACTGCCAGCCGAACTCAATGGGCCGGCTCAAAATGTTGCGTCCACCGAACGCCCGCGCGATGAGCTGGCAGCCAAGGCAGATCCCAAGCACCGGCCGATCTGCCTCGTGGAACGTCCTGATCAGACCACATAAGCGCGGCAGATGCGGATACTCCTTGTCCGCAAGGGCATTCTGGCCACCTCCGAGCGTCACCAAACCGCTAAAGGTGCCTGCCTCGTTCGGCAACTCCTCGCCCGCGTAGGCCCGGACAGTTTTCCACTTGTGCCCCATCCGGGTAGCCGTTCTGCCAAGTGCTGCCAACCCGGCATCCGGATAGTTCTCGATCACCAGCAGGGTCATCCCGTCTCCCGTGTCTTCCAGTTGCTCAAACTGCTTTCGCTGGTTGACCGTAATCATCTGAGTTCTTGATGCAAACATCAAAAACAATCATTTGCGCTTAAGTGAATTGAACGCCAGATTCCCTTCAGGATTTTCCAAGCATGGTGTTTTCATGAGCGTCGCTTCCCCCGCGATCCGCAACGGTTCAGGCGGTTTTTCTGCAATGGATTACGGGCTCTATGCAGCCACGGTGCTTGCCTGGGGCTTCAGCTGGATCGCGATGAAAAGTCAGGTTGCCACCGTGGCGCCGGAAGTCTCCGTCTTCTGGCGATTTGTGCTGGCAGTTGCGGTCATGATGGCATGGGCAAAATTCCGCGGCCACAACATGTCCTTCCCAGTGCAGGATCACTTCCGCTTCGCAGGCCTTGGAGCCTTTTTGTTCTCGACCAACTTTACATTGTTTTACTATGGCGCCATGCAGATCCCCTCCGGGCTGCTTGCCGTGATTTTCTCCACCGCATCAATCTTCAACCTGTTTCTTGGGCTGATCGTATTCGGTCAGCGCCCCAATCCCTTGGCACTGTTGGCAGGCACAATCGGGTTTGCAGGGATCGCCCTGATGTTCTGGCCGAAACTGGTCGGTGCCGAATTCAACACACATGCGGCAATCGGACTGGGCATATGCGTTGCAGGCACGCTGTCATTCTGTGTTGGCAACATGGTCTCCGCCGACACCCAACGGCGCGGCATCGGAGTAGTCCCCGCGACCGCCTGGGGCATGTTCTACGGAATGATGTTTCTGGGGTTGTTTTCAGCCATTCGTGGACAGAGCTTTGCCGTCGAATGGTCGATCAGCTACTTCAGCGGACTTGTCTATCTTGCAATTTTCGCATCGGTCATTGCCTTTGCGTCCTATCTGACCCTTCTGGGGCGGATCGGCTCTGCGCGGGCAGGCTATGCGACCGTCATGTTTCCGGTGGTCGCGCTTACGCTCTCGACAATCTTCGAGGGATACCAATGGACCACCGCTGCGGCCCTGGGTGTGGTCTTCGTGCTTGGCGGAAACATTCTGATGCTGCGCGCGCGTTGAAACGCCAATCATGAAGCGAAAGGACCTGGTGGCCGAATATCTTATTCAGCCGCAAGCTGGCCGGTACCGCCACCGACATTGCCTATTGCCGCGACAAGGTGATTGCACAGGGTATCGTGCATGGCTTCACGGGCCGTGTCCGACCGCAAAAGGGCGATGTCGCAAGACGGCAGAGCAGGAAATCCGTCTCTTTCATCCAGAATACGCATTCCGTCGCGGATCGCACTTTCCGGAAACACGGTGACTGCAAGCCCTGCCTGCACCGCTCCAACGAGAGCTGCCGCACTGGAGCTGGTATAAGAAACGCGATATCGCCGCCCGACCCTGTCCAGCGCGTCCATCGACAGTCGCCGCCAACCGCAGGTCGACGGCCCCAGCGCCAAGCGGATGATGTCCTGCGTATGCGCGCAATGCTGACTGGATGTCACCCAGTAGAGCGGCTCGCGCCGGATGATCTCGCCGCGAAGATCCATCGTATCGCTCGACGTGGTGATGGCAACATCCAGCGCCCCATCGCGGATCGCTTCAGTCAGTTTGCTGCTTCCCGAACACTCGACCTGCACTTCAATTGATGGATTCAGCCGGTTAAAAGCGGCCAGAACCTGTGGCAAGAGACGGTCCGCGTAATCGTCCGGCACGCCGAGCTTGACGTGGCCAACTTCCTTTTGACCGTTGAATGCAGTGAGTGTCTCGTCGTTCAGAAGGATCATCCGCCTGGCATATTCGACCAGGCGCTGCCCGTCTTCGGTCAGCCGTGACTGTCGTCCGTCCTTGATGAATATGGCCTGTCCGACGCGCTCTTCCAGCCGGCGCATCTGCATGGATACAGCCGATTGCGTCTTGTGCACAGCTTCGCCTGCCTTGGTGAAGCTGCCCAGTTCCGCAATCGCTAAAAACGTGCGGA